TGAGACTCCAACTCAAAAAAAAAAAGAAAGAAATTTCGACTCTCACACTCCCTTCCAGCTAACACTTATTGATCTGCTCCCCTTAAAGCAAAACTGCCCAGAGTTCCAACACGCTGTCTACTCTCTCTCTCTCCACCCTCTCTTGAATGCACAACAGTCTTCTTCGCCTGGCCACTCCCCTGAGATGGCTCCAACCCCTGCCTTCCACCACGAATCACAGCAGTCAGTTTTGCGGCCTCCAGCAGTGCCGCCGCCCTCTATCCTCTTCACCTGCCTCCAGGACATAGTGCTCCCGTGTGCTGGCTCCTCCCTCAGCTGCCTCTTTTCCACACTCTGACCTCTGCAGAGCACCCAGGCTCAACTCTCAGATAAACTTTCCTCTTACCCTGCACTGGATCCCATAACCTGACCCAGCTCGAGCTCAAAACCATCTGGACACTGAAGCCTGCAAATTCTCATCCCCAGCACGAGGCTTGCCTATGAAGTCCAGACTTGTATTCCTACTCAGATGTACAATGTCTAATTGAAAATGGTCAAAACCCCCATGACTTTCCCTTTACACAGACAAAAACAAAACCGGCCACTCCCCAGCAGAGCCCTCCTGCCACATCCCAGGAAAGGGCAGCCCTGTGCTTCCAGCTGCTCATGGCATCACCTTCTCAGGGCTTTCCTGAGCCAGCTTAAAACAGAAATGCCCTCTCCCACCTCTGGCCCTTCTCCACCCCTCTCTTTTTATGCTCTTTCCCATAACATCTGTCTCCTCTGACTTCACTTCCACGTTACTTCTTGGCTCCCCATCAGCCTTCTCCCTCACTCAGTGCTCACCTTCACCCACTGGCATAAGCACCATTCCATTTGTTCACTCCAGGGCATGAGACAGCACTTGGCATGCAATAGACCCTCAGCAGGGCTGGGGGCATGATTTCTGTAATCGCGTGGCATTGCCTTCACCAATAAGGGCATGCAAATCCCTTTAATGGCTTCCTTTCCTTTCTCCCCAGAGACTACTACAAACCACCACCATTTTCTTTTAAGGTCACCACTTCTCATTTGGAGCATGAGGCCTTATGTCATACTTTGCGGGAAAAAACATGGTGACTGGACATGAACTGCCTCGCCATGCTCTGCCCTCCCCCCTAGACTCAGTCACATCCTTAAGCTCCTTCCTCTACTGTGCTCAAGCCTCTTCTCTCCCACCCTCCCTTTCACCTTCTTTCCAGGGCACTGATGGAGCTCTGGTTCCGACCTCTCTGTCCCACTGGGAACCCCGCTGTTCTCAAAGTCAGTCTCCCTATTCTCTGCAACCTCAGGAAGCTAGATCTCCTTTAGGCCACTAGCAATTCTGAAGAGAAGAGTCAGAGCCTCCCTCCTGGTCCCAAGCCCCCACACCCCACACAAGAGCCATGGCCCAGTCTCCTCCTTGCTCAGGCCCTAGCCTTCCCTCAGTCACGGGCCCCTGACACCTCCCCTGGGCTCTCCTCGGTGCACGTCAGGTTTACTTTCTCATGACCAAGAGACCCCCAAACCAGTGCTCTTCATTGCCACCTTTCTACTGAAACTCCTTTTCCTTGAAACTCTCTACTACTTTTGCTTTTGTTGCACTGCTCCCCACAGGTTCTCTTTCTCACTTTTGTTGAGTTTTTGCTTCACGTTGTTTTTGTTATTTCAACCACAAAGACATCTCATACTACACAGGCTCGGGACAGTCCTGCCATGGCCATGGTCCACCCCGACTGACACTCCAGTGACACAGACACTCCACCGGCACACCAGCTGCTTCTGGACTTTGAGTCTCTGTTCTCTCACACCTCTTCGCATTTACAAGTGTTGCCCCAGCTGATCTCTCACACCAAACCCATAAAAGTAGTCTGACATGGTCTGAATTTATTTCTATTTCCCTCTTTATAAGTTATTTAAGGACAGAACCACAACTCAATAAAATGTGATAACTAAAAGAACAAATCTCCATCAAGGAAGACAGCCACATTAACTGGTCATGACTTAGAAGCCATGAATGTTCAACTTAGAAGAACAATTCCATAAATCAGCTCCAGAATTTAGAACTCAATAACTGCGTATTGAAATTACAATTCTATTCTGCCAATTTTCCTTCCCAAGTAAACGATAATTTTAAAATGAACACTTTAGATATTTGGATTTTCTTTTTTTTTTTGAGTTGGAGTCTCACTCTGTCGCCCAGACTGGAGTACAGTGGCCGCTCCCAGCCACTGCAGCCTCAACCTGCTGGGCTCCAGCAATACTTCCGCCTCAGCCTTCCGAGTAGCTGCAATTACAGGCACACTACCACGCCCGGCTAATTTTTTTATGTATTGTAGAGATGAGGTCTCACCAAGTTGCCCAGGCGGGTCTCAAACCCTCGGGCTCAGGCTATCCACTCACCTCAGCCTCCCAAAGCGCAGGATTACAGGCTGAGCCACCAAGCCCGGCTGATATTTGGATTTACAAAGAAAGAGAAAACTAGCAAAAAGTATTTTAAAAGGTATAATTTAACCTTAAAAGTTTCTTCTTTGTTGAACTTTCTGGAGTCCTGGGATACTTAGGTGTCCGTTTCTGGGGTGTATACAAGACGGTCTCTGTCGATTCTGCCCCTGGGTCTATCAGTCTCTTTATAACCTGTCTTGTATCCAATCCAAACTCCATGTGGTATTTGTGAGGGGATTCTGAATCAATGAATAGGACATTTTCCGAGTCAACTTCTTTTTCACTATCTGATGAATATTCCAAAATTTCTGTAGAACTTGACTGGAAAAAATAAAGAGAAATGCAATTAAATATTAAGAATTCTTAATTCTAGTTCATATTTACAAACATCAATCATCCTATTCTTTTATGACTCTATTCCCCAACACAGTTTTTTAAACAGTAGCTTAAACTTCTGTGTTGACACAAAATCCAAAAGTAACCAAGACAAGAAGAAATTAAATTAACTATAAAACAGGCTCTCTCATAGAACCCACTGAAATCATTACAAATGCTTGAATCTTCTTTTAGCAAACTAAAAGATAGTGCCATGTGCACAGCAGTCTCCAAAACTGAACCAGAAACACGAATCTGAGAGCGAATCTAGTTATTACACGAATCTAGTTATTACAACCTGATGCCTGTTGGAAAAAAGAATTTCTCAGATTTTAAAATTTAACATGGAACTAAATTTTCATTATTTTCATAAACCAAATTTCTTAAGGTATAAACTACTTAGTTTGCCAAAGTCATCTCCAACAGCAAGATATAAACCTGACTTTCCCCCACACAATTCCAATATGATATTTCAGAAACTAGTTTGAAATTGCAAATATCAACAAGAACTATTTAAGAATATGAGTCGCTCTCTTTTTCCTAACATTTGCTAAAACATTTCTTTCTCCTACTTAAATTTCTAAACTTTCAAAGTAAGATTTTTATAAAAACTGGGTTATAAAACAATAATTCATATCACATGGTTAACCCTGGAGGGAAGAATAAAAACTTCTTCTGATTTTTTCTGCCTCTGTCTAGATACACACTAAAACGTCTAGGCCTGATAGGGTTTAATTTTCCCATGACTTGGTTTTGTAGGTCATTTCCATGTTGTTCTGTGTCAGGAAAATTCACCCTTCAATATTCTAATATCCAGTGTATATTGGGAGACCTAATTTAGTACTCTGGTGTTGCAGGGTAACACTAGTCTTCATCACTTGCTAATCTACATAAAACAAAAAGCCTTTTCTGAGGATTATATAACTAAATCATTTTTAACAGTCTTAAAAAAGACCATCTCATCCCATAATCCCACTTTCTATGAGGCCTACTGACAATACAAACAAGTCAACAACAGATTTCTAAAGTAAATGAACAGTTTAATTCCACGGTCTTCACCATTTCAGTTTTATTTCCCCCACCCCCCAAAAAATCGCTTCAGGTACCTGCCAACCCATCCATAAACACTAGGGCACAGGTTCCTTCAAAAAGATAAGCTTCTGAACAAATATTCAAAAGGAGCCACCAAAAGAATCAGAGCAGTTTAGACCGAAAGGAAGCTCTTTTCTTGCACCTCGTCCTAGAGCAGGTACTCTTGCCATCTGGGGCCTGACTGTGTGGTGGGGCCCTCTTGTGCACTAGCGGGTATTTAGCAGCATCCCTGGCCTCTGCTCACGAAGATGACAGGATTACTTGCCCCATCACAACAAACAAAAAGATATCCAGATGTTTCTCTATGTCTCCTGGGGCAAACCATCCCTCCATGAGAACCACTGTCCTAGAAATGAGTCAACAAATAGCCAATCACAGGCAGTCTGGGCCAGGGACATGCAAATGTGGAAAGGAATCGTGTCACTTCACTTCGTGGGAATGGGGGAGGCCCAATCCAAACATTTATAAAATGTGGCAGAAGTACTGCGATGGAGGTGTTGCTTAGGCTCCAAGGAGAACACCTAGCAGCAGTGGCAAAGCCAGGTAAGGCACAAGGGAAGAGAAGAGTTACAGTGGTGGAAAAGGTATGCTTCCCAGGATCTGCCACCTGCAGCTGAATGCCAAGTATTAATTAGACACAGAGGGGAGGAGTACATTCCAGGGAGAAGAAAGAGGAGGACTAGAGTCCATATTCTGAGGCAGCTGGGACCGCTGGCAGCTTTAAACAAGGGCTCACAACATCAGATGTTAAACGTGGAATGGTCGTCCAAACAACATTCTGAAGAACAAACCACAATATGGGACAGAGGGGAAACCATATGGCAGGGAGGGAAGGCAGCTAACTAGAAAACTCTTCCATAATGAGAACACAACATAAAGACGACCCGAGTGCTATTTGGAAGAGAGAGAGTTGGACTTGGGGGAAAAAAAACAAGGGAAAAAATGCAACAACCAAATTCAGTATCAAGACATACATCTGGTGGCAAGTTGCTAATCTGAATCTGGTTTGGATGCGTTAATGTTACAATGCCTATCAGGTAGAGAAGGAAAAACTGACCAATAGGCAGTGGCTCTATGGGTCTGCAGTGTTAAGAGTACTGTGGAATAAAGATACAGTTTCAGGAATCATAAGATGAGAAACAGTGTGTAATGGCATGAGAGTTGAAGAAAGATTGTCTAAATGAAAGTCTATGTAAAACTCTGAAGGAGAAGACCCAGCTTGAAACCTAGAGAATGTTGTCAACATTCAAGCAGTCTTCAGCTGAAAAGAGACAGAAAAGTATTTTGAATATGACAAAAGAGAGACTAAACAGATATAAGAAACCTATGGCACCTTGGTAAAAATGTATCTTAAAGAATAAATGGAAGGTGAAGTGAAAATAGACCTGCTAGTTATTTTAGTAAGTCTGAACATGCATATTTTATTTTCTTTCACAAAAAGGATAGCATAGTGGGCATAACAATGTTGTAGTTACAAATCATGAAAAAAAAAAAATCACAAAATCCAAATGAATTTCTTCAGTAAAGAATTCAATAGCAGTAAGAGTGGCAAGATTTAATAGCACCTCAGGTAGTACTGTGGAGTTTCTAAGCATCAAACCATGATAATAAATTATAGGTGCTTTTGGTTTAAGCTATCACTTCTTCATTGAGAACTAGCAAATATATAAGAATACACTGGGCCAGGCACAGTGGCTCAAGACTGTAATCCCAGCGCTTTGGGAGGCTGAGGTGAGCAGACTGCCTGAGCCCATGGGTTCGAAAACAGCCTGGGCAACTTGGCGAGACCTCATCTCTACACTAAATTTAAAAAATAAGAAATAAAAAAATTAGCCAGGTATGGTAGCACATGCCTGCAGTTCCAGCTACCTGGAAGGCTGAGGCAGAAGGATTGCCTGAGTCCAGTGGGTGGATGCTGGGGTGGACGTGCGTGTGCCACTGAACTAGATTTGGCAATAGGGTGAGACTCCAACTCAAAAAAAAAAGAAATACACTGAACACCTACTACCTGTGTTATCTTAGCTGCTATAGTAATACAAAGACAATTTTCAAATCTATCCTTGCTTTTGCATACTTATAATCAACTTAAAAATTGAAAAAAAAAACCTAAACTAAAATTACAAAACATTTTTGGGCAATTCCAAATGCACTGTACTGTAGATGAGTAATGGAAAAGAAAGATCACTTGGGGCAGTAGTAGCCTAGAAAGTACCGATAAAGGTAGCATTTGACCCTTACATTTTTTGTGGTCTCAGCCGTACTCTTCACTAAGCAGGCTACCTTAGGCAATTTTCTTAACTTCCCTATGCCTATGCTTCTTCAAATCGATGCTGCAATAATACCTAACATATTAGGCATGTAGTAAATGTAAGTTATTCTTTTTAGACCCTATAGTAATTTACATATGTATTTTTGTTTTAAATTTTGTACTTTTTTTCTTGGTTTCTTTCTTTTTTTTTTTTTTGAGTTGGGGGTCTCACTCTGTCACCCAGGCTGGAGTGCAGTGGCACACTTATGGCCACCACAGCCTCGACCTCCTGGGCTCAGACAATCCTACCACCTTAGCCTTCCAAGTAGCCAGAACTACAGGCATGTGCCACCATGCCCAGGTTTGTTTTTTTTTTTCCTTGATTTCTAAGAGGATTTCTATATAAAAGACAATAAGGAACACAACAAATAATATCTCCAGCAGACAATAAAAAAGACAAATGCTTTCCAGGTGTGATGGCTCAGGCCCCAAATCCCAGTCCTGTGGGAGGCCACTGCAGGAGAATTGCTTGAGCCCAGGAGTTTGAGACCAATCTAGGCAACACAGTTAGACCCCCATCTCTACAAAAAAAAAATCAGCCTGGCATGGTAGCCCTTGCCTATAGTCCCAGCTACTTGGAAAGCTGAGGCAGAAGGATCGCCTGAGCTCAGGAGGTCAAAGCTGTGGTGAGCCGTGATCATCACTGCACACCAGCCTGGGTGACTGAGTGAGACCCCAGCTCAAAAAAACAAAAAAACAAAAAAAAGTTGTCTTAACCAGCAGAGCAAATCATGTATTCTTCGACCCCAACTCAAAAAAAAGATGTCTTAACAAGCAGAGCAAATCATGTATTCTTCATGTTATAACAGTTACATATTCTACAGTTATAACAGGAACCAAGATGAAATGAACACCTTTAGGAAAAGATAACTACAAGTCACTGCTTTAGCATTTTGTATTTCAGAACTTTCCTCAAGCCTATAGCCCCAAATGAACACAGAGGGACTGTCTTCACATGAACACAAAGAGGATTCAGAGGACCTATGGGCTCACCAGACACCAGCGATCTTGGACGGAGTCTTATAATGAGGAGCACATGATCTTTTAATGAGGATGCTGTGTGCATGAACAAATGTGAGCAAAGACATGTGCGTCCAGTGTGCAGAGGGTAGGGGGAATAGTCAAAGACAGGTCAAAGGTGACAGCAGGTTCATAGGTTCAAGCTTGTATTTCATCCCTACACTGCAGAATGAGATTGATGGGAAAGAAGGGCCATGAGCTTTGAAACAAAGCAGACTTATTTTTTATCTCAGCTCAACTATTTAATTGTTTAGTGACTTTGGACAAGTTATTTGATGCTACCATTTTGAGTTTAATCATCCAAAGATGGAAAAACTATTTGAGAAATATTTCTCTCTCTCTCTCTCTCTCTCTCTCTCTCTCTCTCTGTCTCGCACACACGGTATTGTCTTGCAAGGACAGAGAAGCTGTAGCTCATTAGTTTTTATTGCTATATCGTATTCCAAAGTGGTTAGCTTCTCTGCGGGATATGGCAACCAGGGGATTGGTGGATAGTTCATTGTCCTCTTCAGCCATAACTGGTAGA